TGCTCCGGAAGACCCCCATACAAACGATATTTTTCCACGAGTGATAACACAGCTTGCGAGCTGGCCCCAACACAGCTCCAACAGTTGCACGAACGTCCAGCTGCCAAATCTTCATGGTTCGATACTGCTCCTGATGGGTGGTGATGATGCAGCTATGTCGTGTTTACACTGTCGGGCAAATCGAGAATGGAGATGGTAGCGGGTAGTGGCGAGAGGCTGGCGACGATGATGGTGACGACCTGTAACCAGCACCGACGTTTAGCGACTCGCCGACGTTCACGGATCCTTGCGTCCGAACGGGTAACTCCCGAATAGGTCCTATCCTAAACCTACGAGCATAGTCCCTCATATTTGGGACACTCGCTGAAGGCTCCTGAGTCCCTCCAACTTTTCCGTGACGGCAACACGCTTCTCCCACTACAACACTAACCCTTGATTTTCTGCTCCAAACAGCTGCAAAGATCTTCCAGCTGCTTGCGAACAGTACCGCGCACGCTCTGCCAAAAAGCTGCTGCTGTTGTTGCCCGCAATTTTCCTTCGCAAAAATGACAAAGCCGTCGTAGATGCCGTCGAGACCCCGCCGGGCCGATGTTCACCCATCGCTGCACCGTGGCGAACATCGCAACACCAATTTCAATTTCTTCAAACGATCCACCAGCGCAGGAACATCTGCAAGCTCACCCTTGTTTTCGTCTAGGACCGTCGGAGTATGACGACAAGAAACCTGTCTCTCGAGGGGCGGGTGCATCTCTCCCTCTCCCGATGGATGAGAGGGGTAAGACGCTAAGCGCTAGTGCACCCGGGTGGGATTTGCGACCCCTGAGCGCAACCCCCGTTGTCGCGACACCGTCCAACTGCGGAGACCTCTCGAGAGGCCGTGCTACCAAGCGCCCGCCCGGCTCGACTGCCCCCCTTTTATCAACGAGGTCAGACGGCCGGGGGCGTGGCCCGACGCAGACAAGGCGTTGGGGTATGGTGGCAATGCACGGCCAGGTGAGATGATCCGCAGCCAACCCGGGCCCGTCTCTCAGTCCCAGTTGAACAAAAAAGTCATTTCGACGGGACTGCTCTCCGACGACGAGCATTTCTGCAGAGCTCGCATTGTCGACAAATCTGCTTTTTATCGACAGGCCTTTCTGCAGGGCTTGCATTCATAGACTCTGTTGACATGCCGCTTCTGCAGACTTCTCAACAATTGCGCAGCTTGTTATCAGTCACGCTCTCCCCCTGTCTGAGCGTCCCAGCTTTCAAGCCGTAGAGATTGCGAATGAGTACCTAGATGCTGTCATTGCACACTATTTCACTCCCTCCTCCGCCTTTCCTGGCTGCCTCCTTCTGCCCCTGCTCTTCCCTGATCTTGTGTCCTTCCCCACAGCTGCTGACCTTGCCACTCACTTGCGCGCTATTGAGAGTAGCTATCGACTATTGCCTCCCCCCCTCGGCGCTACCCTCAACTTCCTTCCCGACCACGTAGCCACTGCCCTCGACGCCTTTTTTAGTCTCCACCAAGCTGACTTCACCCTTAATGGGTTTCTCACCACCCTGTCTACGATAGAGACCCGCCAGCGCACTATCGCTCAGTCTAGTGGTACTACGGCGATCCCTATCTTCCAGGACTGTGCTCCTCCTAGTGCACTTACTCTGACGTTTCTGCCATTGTCGCTGCGACAACCCGTACTGCTGAGATCGTGGCGGTGGCCTCAGCGCAGCCTCGTCAGGGTAAGGGCCGCCGCCCCAAAGGGGCGCGTGGCGGAGGGAGGGGTGGCGGGGGTGGTGGAGGTGGTGTGAGTACTGGTGGCGCAGACGAGTGGGCCGAGGCTAATGCCCCGATGCAGCAGCATCAGTTTCAGCAGCCCCAACAGTCGCAGCAATAGCCATGGGGAACCTCGTCGCCGTGGTGGCCTGGCAGCTTTGGTGGCGGCCCTCACAATTCGACGTCGGGTGGCAGCTCTAGCTCTGTGAGTTGCCAGTACCAGCACCAGGTTGGTCCCTTTCTTGGCACCATGTGTAGCCGTCCTGGTCACACCGCTGCCCGCTACTACCGTCGTCTCCGCTTCGGCCCTGTGCCGAACCTCCCGGACTAGCCCAGTCTGGTGTGTCGTCGTGTGCCTATCTTCGAGATGGACATGGATCATATTCGTTCTACTTTGTATGTTGATAACTCTAGTGTAACTGGACCTTACTACCCTGTGTTGCCTAGCCTAGGTGTGTCCACTGTGTGTAGTCTAGGCTTCCCTGCTGCATCACGCGTAGGACCTCCTGACTTGTTTAGCCTAGGCTCTACGCTAGTCCTTCCGCCGGCTGGCGCTACCGCTGCTCTTTCCTTCACGTTGGAATCTAGTGCGTCTGCTTGCTTCTTTCACGACCACATTGCGCTCACGCCTCTTGCCGCCCCCGCAGCCGTCGTTCTTGCTTACCCTTTTTCAAGACCAGTTGTTGTACATAGTTCCACCACTCTTCCCTGTCTGGCGGCTCCCTCGGCCCAGCCCCCGTACCTGGGCCGCGTCTCGAGCGCTGCTTCATGGTGCTCGTCGACGACTACACACGCTACACCACGGTGTTTCCCCTACAGCGGAAGGCCGACGCGCCTGACACTCTTATCCCGTGGCTTGTAGATTCTCGAGTCCACCGCGCCTTGCTCCTCCTCCATCTCCATTCTGACCGTGGCGGTGAGTTCGCCTCCGGTCGGCCTGGCCAGTTCTGTCATGCGGAGGGCATCACCCAGTCGTACACACTGCCGGACTCCCCACTGTAGAATAGGGCCCCTGAGTGATGCATCGGTTTGGTCATGGAGTTGGCTCGTGCCTCTATCATCCAGGCCTGTGCACCCCATTTTCTGTGGCCGTTCGCTGTTCGCTACGCCGCTCACCAGCTTAACATGTGACCGCACTCCTAGCGGCCGCAGGTTTCGCCGACTCTTCTCTGGACCGGGTCCTCTGGTGATGCGTTGCGTTTTTCGTCAGGGGTTGCCTCGCCCACATCCGCGTTTCTCACGCGGACAAGCTCAATTTTAGCACCGTCCCTTGTGTCTTTCTTGGCTTCTCCCTGGACGCGTCTAACTAAGACTTCTACGACCCGCCGTCTCACCGTTTGTTTCACTCACGTAATGTCACATTTGACGAGTGTGTCCCCTTCTACACCCGCGTCTCCCACTGAGGTCTCCTGATCACCCCACCCCTGTTCCTTGTCCCCACTCCCCTGGTAGCTCCCGCTCCCCGTCCTGCCCCGTTGGGTGTGTCTCACGTCACTCCCCTTCCCTCGGTTGCCCCGGTGGAGGAGTCTGCTGACTTTCGGGGCCCTGCTGCTCAGGGTCTGCCGCCTGTTTTTGCGGCGCCTGCACCTTCGGCCTTGGTGTCTCCTCCTCCGCCGCCGCCGCAGCAACCGCCGCAGCAGCAGCAGCCACAACAGCGGCAGGGGTCCGCGAGCTCTAGAGGTGATGGGAGTGTGGGTGCTGGTTCTGAGGGTGCTGTTCCTGGGGGTGCTTTTTATGGAGGTGCTAGTCCTGGGGATGCTGTCGTGGCGAGTCCTGGAGGTAGTCCTGGTGCGGCTGGAGGTTCTGGTGTGGGCGCGGAGCAGCAGCAGCAGTAGCCGCCGGTGTCCGCCCTTTGCCTCCTCGATCTTCCCTCCCCCGACCGCTCGCCCGCGCCTCCCTCGCCGTTGCCTCCTCCGCCGGTCTACGGCCCCGTGTTTCCTCCACCAGACTCGTCCTCGGATCGTTACCCCCCTCGTTCTCCCCCTGTGTCTCCTCCAGTGTCTCCTGACGCGACGCCTCCTTCCCACTTTTGGTCTCGCCATCCCTCTCGTGCTCGCCCTGTCTCTCCTGTTCAGCGTTCTCAGCCTACTTTGAGACAAAACCCTTCCTGTACAAGAAAGGTGGGCTGCATGGTGGGAGGTTACGAGAGTGAAGGGCGGACATGGGGTAGAAAGGGATGTGCATGGTATGAAAGAGTATGGGAGAAGGGCCTCGAGGGGAGAGGGAGATGGGCAGAGAGACATTGGGAGATGGGAGAGGGGAGGGGGCTGGTGGATTAGAGAGGAAATAAATGTGGCCACAATGGGCTTAGGGCATGTGACTTCGGTGAGAAATGCACAATTGGCAGAGGGGGGATTAGGAGTCAGGACACAAACGACAAAGGGGGATTAGGAGGATACAATTGGCAAAGGAGGATGAATGCTTGTTTGGAATCAATACAGGATCTTTTCTTCGTCATGAGCAAACACGTTTCATTCCCTAAAGTATTTGGGCTTGTCCATGAAGGGTTTAGGGCTGGATGTATTAATCATTGTGCTTTGGCGCACATTGTGCGTTTATTAACGGAGCGCGGCTATTTGTAACGGAGCAAGTCTCGAGCACAGTCACCCTTCGACTGAAAAACCACGGTTGACTGTCTGTACTTCCAAAGAGGAGATCCAACTTCGGCTGTAGTTGACTCGACATCACAGAAGGCGGATGTTGCTGATTTGGCAGCAGATTTCCTCTATACAAGGTGTGAATATCGGCTTCGCTAAGCAACCATCAGCCCCTTGCCCATTCGCCCTTGCGGTCAGGTGCTTCCTACACGCACGAGCACTTCGACGCAGCCACCGCCACCGCCAGTCCAAACCTTTCCTGCCTGAAATCCCGCCAGTCCAATCCCGCCCCACTGGCTTCGCGAGGCATGAATTCCCCCGTACTGTACTGTACTCGCAACGGGATTGAATCGGACGACGGCTTCGTTTGGTCTCACCACTTCGCTGAGCAAAACCAGCTCCAGCGTGTGCTGTTTGTTTTCAGGGCGTGTCCCTCCCAAGGTGCAATACGGTAAATAAATTTTCAGGGTATGTCCCGCTTTCAGGGTATGTCCCGCTTACAGTTTGTACAGGTGCAATACGGTAAATAAATTTTCAGATCGGTGAAACCAGAACACCGTCTCTCAGCGCGTGTCACCGTACACCACCGCAGACAGAATGTGTGGGACGCTCTGATTCATATGACTCCCAGCATCCTGCACCTTCTCACATTGATTTATGAAATACGTTATTCTCTCTCTTGATCATTCGCCTCCGTCACGGTGGTTCTGCTGCCACCAGGCCATGGCGAGACATCTAGTCCCCGCTGCAGTTCTGCTGCTTCTGGCCGTCAGCCTGACAGCAACGCCAGTCTCGGCTCACAGCGCCAATGGTCTTGCTGACGACGTTGGCAACGTGACAGTAACTAACGGAGTCACGAGCTGGTCCGTGACGATCCTCAACATCACCGGCGGGTGGAAGATGCTTTCCGACATGAAAGGCAGCGCCTTCGTTCCCACCAACGACGCGTGGACGGCGGCTCGTGCCGGGTACCTCAAGCAGAAGACGATCGACGCGTCGGTCAAGGAGGCTCTGAACACCGTCGTCGACAAGAATGCCAACGAAACCGACCTTCTGGCCATGTCGCAAGGCGCGTGGAACGTGCTTCATAACCTGGCGCACTACCACTTGGTTATTGAAGGGGTCAATGGCACCGTCATCAAGAACTATGTAAGGCCACCGCCGGCGAGCACTATATATATACCAAATGCCTCCGGCTTGCAAGCACCATAACCACGTTGCATTTTTCTTCATTGGGATATTCTGATTCGTCCCTTTTTGCGAGCGATCTGAACGTGTGTGTATCTGTTTCCATCCCGCCGTGCCCAACAGTTGACTGCAGGCAAGTACTACAGCCTCACGACCCACAAGGCAGCGCCCGTGTTCCTCCTCTACACCAAGGCCACGGGTAACATTACCATCACAAGCAAGCGGCCTGCCGGTGTCCCCTTGCTGACTCTTCCTTCCATCAGCGACACCCACACCTCTCATGCCGACGTGCTTGCCGTCGCAGTCGCCCCTCCTGTAACCACTCCCGCTACCCCCGCTCCTATCGGTTTGGCTGCAAACCCGGCCGGCACTGACGCGGCAGTGGGCGTGGTGGTGATCCCGGACATTGTGGCCGAGCACGGATACGCCATCCACGCCATCGACGCCGTGCTCTTCCCCACTGAGGCGTCCATCCTCTCCAAAGAGTCCGTCAAGCCCTCTTCCCCACTCCCTCCCCCCCCCCACCGCAACCCGCCGCCCCTCCGCCACCCATCGGCACGCCGCAACCCGCTGGCACGCCACAACCCGCTGGCACGCCGCAACCCGCTGGCACGCCGCAATCCGCCGGCACGTCGCAACCCCCCGCCACGTCGCAACCCGTCGCCTCGCCGCCACCCCCCAATTCTGGTGAGTCTCATTGGTTGCGGTTGAAGGAATGGGTACCTGTGGGCAGGGCTGGGTGTTTTGGCATATGACGTGTCGACAGGTGTTTTACTTGCTGCACTTTGTGCTCTGTTGTTAGAGGGTGGCATATTGTCATGTTGTTCTTATTGTCCTTGCAGGAGCTTCTGTCCGTACGTTCAGCGTGATCTCAGCTCTCACCGTGCTTCTCATCTCGTTCGTGCTCCTGCTGTAGCGCATCCTGACTGCCTGAACTATCCTTGCGGGGCGTTATGTTCAATTGTTATGTTCAATGGATCAGAGGCTTGGAGGGGGTGTTATGTTTGGTGGTAGTGTAGCTGCTGAACATTCATGAAACGAGCCGAAGGCTTTGATTGAGAAGTCCGGCCCGCAGCTGCCTTTGCGAGGGCCCTAGTGTACATCGGGTGCACACCGTACGCCCCCGATTTGGACGTATCGCGTGGGAGTAATGCGCGCACAAACTTCGCAGGCCTTCGCGCCAGGGAAATGGGCAATGCTAATGAGGACGGTTGTAACATGCTTGTGTCAACTTATACACATGCTTATATGTAGAAGTTATAGGCTAGATAGGTTTGTGTTCTTAGAGAGTACATCTCCAACCCTATATCTTCCTTGCCTCTCTCGTTACCAACCCGTCTATTCCTGTCTCGAGTCTTGACGCGCTTGTCGCTGCCATCGCCGGCTTTGCCTCTACCCGCCGCCTTGACGACGCCACCGCTTTGGTCTCTGACCCTGCCCGTCCTCCGTCCATCGGGGGTGCTGCTGCCCTTGGCAGTGACGTCCTGGAGGACCAGCAGTACGAGCTTGCTGTTGCTTAGAGAAGGCTATAAGCAGATGATTCAATGGCTCCTTGGAAATTTCTGCAGCACTTCGTTATGACGCCCAGAAAACTCGCGACCTTCGAAAAGCTATATCCAAAACTCCAATCGGTGAAACAATATGAAACTCAGATATGTTGTAGCTTGCAGCGTCAGCTTTCCTCTGAAAGTTGAATCACTCGATTCCGTAGCTTAACGAGCGAGCTATGGCGTTTGGCGCACTGGGGGGTAATCTGCCCTAGGAGAAGTTGACAATCCTCAGAGTCACTATGATTGAAGCTTACAAGTTCAGAGGCATGATAGAAAAGGCATTGAAGCACAGTTGGAAGGTAGGTATGGAAAGGAAGGATGAAAGGGAAGGACCCTGGAGGCCCATGGTCAAGAACATGACAAGAGTCTAAGTCTTGACTCCCCATCCTCAGGTTCAGCCAGCCTGGCAAGACAAAATTCACACTGTACCAGGTTGGCCTCCAAACCCCAAATGCTGCAGCTGCAGGGTGGGGACAAAAGTCCCACACATGCTGGTCCCTCCTCGTTATAGGGCTCTCCAACTTTGGTGTAGCAGCTGACAAGGACTTCCAATGAGTTGTAACAAATCCATCAAACATTTCTTCTTCATATGTGCTCCGATTCCAACAATTCTTGGCTCGTTGGAATGTGCTCGATGTCATGCACAAACCAAGCACATCTGCACAAGCACAAGATGAACATGCAAAGACATGCAAACCCAACAAACCATACAAACAATGTAGCACACAAAACACATGCAACGAAATGATGCGAACAGATGACAGGATGACGTGCAAACTAATATGCACCAACACTTGCTTTCCTGTCTCAAGCTGCTCCCCATCTCTGTTCCATGCTGCTAGTCCCTAAGAGTGACCCTGGCGTTTTTTTCATCCCGACACCTCGCACTTACGCTGAGGCGACCTCGGGACCCTGGGCTTCTTAGTGGATAGCTGCCATGGAGCAAGAGATGGCATCTTGGAGATCCACCGGCACCTACATCGACGAAGTTCCCCTCGCCTGGGGTGAACGTAGTCGATGCTCGGTGGCTCTTCAAGGTGAAGCGCCCCCCTGGAGAGCCGCCTGTATTCAAGGCGCGCTATGTACGTGGCTAGAGGTTTCAGTCAGCGTGAGGGGGTGGACTTCGTTCAGACCTTCGTTCCGACCCCGAAGATGACTACTCTTCGGGCGCTGCTACACGTAGCAGCACAATGTGACTACAAGCTGCACTCCCTCGACTTCTCCACTGCGTTTCTTCACGGCAGCCTACACGAGCAGGTCTACCTACGCCGTTCGCAGGGCTTCAATGGTACCTTCCCTCTTGGGACCCAGTGGCTCCTCTGGCGCCCGGTCTACGGCCTGCGACAGGCGCCTCGTGAGTGGCATGACACGCTGCGTGCTTCGCTTGGTGACCTGCAGTTCTTTCTTTCATCTACAGACCCTCGCTCTTCGTTCGTGCTGGCCAGACTCCGTTCTACATCCTAGTCTATGTAGACGACCTGGTCTTCGCTACTGCAAGCAGAGACGCTGTGAGAGTACGACTCCGCTACGCTCCCTTCTTATTCCATCTTTCTCATTCCCACCGCATTCTTCTTATCCTGATCCATTTGGTCTTTATCTCATCTCATTTGGTTTCCTATTCCTCATTTTCCATTATCCTTTGGTCTATAATGTTTTTGTAATTATATCACCGACCAGGCTCGGGACGTACTGGCGCGCTATATCTAGCGTAATCTTGCCGTAACATTCTAAAGCCAATAGCATCGCGTGGCTATACGCGGGGTGATTCTATTTCTAGAAGGGTCTATTCCCCTTGGATAGGATAAACCTGGTTACCTGATGTACTATGGAAATATAAAAGCGCCTTGTATTCATCGATAGTTTAACCTTTCCTCGACGCATTCGATCCGGTGACACTTGGTAATCTGAGCTTTTCTCACTCGGCTGCGCTCAGCAAAGCAGCAGCAGCGGGAAATCCTGCCTCGAAAAACCGCTGGGGGTGACTGATTTGGCGCCGATTCTGGTAAGCACCAGCTCTGCGTTTTTTTTAATTAACCCGCGCGTGTTTTGAACAGGATGGCGATCTTCGACAATGCCGAGGTTACCCAACAGCTCTTCGCACACATCGCCGCCTACATGAGGAGATGCGAGCCGAGTGCAAAGCTTGGCGAAATGAGTTCGAGCGAGTAACTCGACTCGCCGGCGCACAGCACGAAACGATAACGGCGACGACGCAGCAGTCGCAGCAGTTTCTCGAGGCTCCGAAGCCGCGCCCACCTGAGCCGTTCGATCCGAGCGATCGAGACTCCAACGTCTGCAGATGGATCGCCGGCATGGAGATCTACTTCGCAGCCGTCGGATGGAGCTCGCCAGTCTGGGACGGTCAACGCGTACGACTCGCGGCGACACTGATGCGAGGGCCGGTTCTTGAGTGGATCGGCTGCAACAATACCTTCATCCAGGACGAAGCCACGTGGGAGCAGTTCCGCACTGATCTGCTGAAACGTTTCGAGCCGAAAAATTCTGGTTTCCTTGCCCGGGAAAAAAATCACCGCCATCGACATTTCGGGAGAATAGCACAGTAAACGCAGCAGATGGAATAAATTTATAACCGCATTCCCGAACTGACCGAAGGGGATAAAGTACAGTCGTATCTCAACGGGCTGAAGACCGAAGTCAAACGACAAGTAGCAGCGACGAATTACGCGAGCTACAGTGACGTCGTATCGGCGGCAGAGCGATTTGACATGGTCAACGCCGGGACACGACGGGCGCACGTCGGCAGTACGCGACTGGGGGACCGCTTGGCTCACCCCACGTTCGCCGACTCGATGGAAATTGACAGGTTCGACGGGCGGCCACGTCCGAAAACCTCCAACTTCACGTGTGACTTTTGTGGAGTGCCGGGCCATCGAATCTTCGACTGCAACAAAATGAAAGCCGCACGTGTAGAGTACCGGGCACGCAACAGTGGCGGAAACTCTTCGGCCAATCAGAAGACAAAAAACGGGAATCGCCAGTGATTGCGGATCTAACTGGAGAAAAAGAAAAGATCCGAAGTGGCCGCGGGTTTCCGGAAAAATCAACTTCAACGAAGCGGATTCGACGCGAGCAAGAGGAAATGATGGGGGAAAATCTCCACCCCACGACCAGTCTTCGCCAGGGAAAATCGCCGAGGAAAAATCAGACTCCGCGAAAAAAGACTCTGCCGAGACGGGGAAACTCCTAGACAACACAAGAAATGATAAGGATTCGTTAAAGTTATCTTATAAAGGTGCTTTAATAAAAACTTATGATTCTCGAGGCGCCAGAGCCTTCGAGAAGTTTCAGGAGGGACTCCAAAAGAAGCAGAAAATTGTGGGGATCTTACTCGTACCGGAAAACTTGGGGAAAAAAATAAGGAGTGTGGAAAGAAGCCGACCTTTCCATAGAGTCAACGTCCTCTCCTGGCACCAGCCCACAACGACTACCCGTTCCCCAGGGAAGACATCGGTGGAGCTGAAGCAGCTCAAGAGGAAGCTGGGGGTCTACAAGAACTCCTCCTTCGGATGCATCCAGCTCAGCAAATTCGGCATCAACGACGCACACAGTCGTCCAAGAGACTCCGGGTCCTGAAGAAGAGCCTTTCTCCAAGCATCCCCAGCCAGCTGCCAGCAAAGGAGAAGATAGCAACGATAAGGTGTGCGCGGATTATTGGGATGTACCCTACGATCCTATCAATCAAACTATCTTTGGGTACTCCGACCAACGCCTGCCCCTCGTGCTCGAGGTCATCTGCAAAGGGCGACACCTCAAAGCACTTGTGGATAGCGGAGCGTCACACAACGTATGCGACAAGGCAACAATCGACTGCCTTCAGCATTCTCTGCAACAATGGTAGACGGCAGCAAGTTACCAGTGTACGACGAAGCAGTGTTACACATACAAATCGGACCACTGCGCTGGAAACCTGCACTCCCCATCACCAACATAAAAGGGCTTGACTTGATATTCGGGCGAGACTTCCTTAAAAGGTTCAACCCCGAGATCAATTGGGTAAACCGTACTGCAAGCATCTACAACAAAGGAAGGAGAGTTCCACTACCCAAATGGGACGATACGGAAGATATCCCAGTGGAGACACTCGCCAGATTCGAGAAGGACGTGAAATGAACCGACACCGGGTTCCTGGGGATAGCAACAGATGTGGAAGATGAGGGGGAGAAAGCCCCAAAACCTCCAGAAGATAACAAGGAATTGCTGAAGGAGTTCCAAGACATTCTTCCCGACGACCTTCCAAACGAGCTACCGCCATACCGAACACATAAACGCGAGATCGTGGAGGAACCAGGTTTGAAACCGACCTTCCGAGCACCATATCGGCTCAGCCCTACAAAGCTAACTATCATGAAGAAACAGATCGAGTATCTCCTCGCCAAAGGACTCATCCGACCATCCACTTCTCCATACGGTGCCCCAGTGCTCTTCACACCAAAGCCGGACGGAAGCCTGCGCATGTGCATCGATTAACAAGCAGACCATCAAGAACAAATACCCGATTCCGCGAATCGATGACCTGTTTGACCAGCTTCGTGGAGCGACGGTATTTTCCAAACTAGACCTACGGTCCGGATACTGGCAGATAAGAATGGCGGACAACTCCATCCAAAAAATTTCCTTCCGAACTCGGTACTGGTTGTACGAGTATCTGGTAATGCCGTTCGGACTCACCAACGCACCGGCAATATTCCAA